GTGAGCAAAACTTCTCAGGGTAGAATACATACATAAGTGCGAAAGGTTTAGACTCCGGTATGAATCACTACATTATTTGAGCACATGGGAAGTTAATAATTATCATTAATGCTCATTTAAATAACTACCGAAAAAATTTAAAAACCATTTCAAGAGCAAGAGGTGGAGATTATTATATATATTTTAAAAATTTAACAATACAAAATTGATACCCAATAACATATAATTTATTGAATACGAAGTTTCTTACCCAACTGATACCTATTAAGAGATGTAAGTGAAGAGAAAAGATGCAAGCGAAAACTCTTTGTATCTGCTCCAATCTTATTATACGAGTATTCAATTAACATCAACATATCCATCTGCTTCAATCCTATTATTCGAGTTTAATTCAAACAAACCTTTGCAAAGCAACGTTTAAACTAACGAACTTCTTTAAACCATGCAGAATACTACATAGTATTGCTACGGTAAGGTATCAACGGTGTTACTAGGATTGTGCTCTGTAAGGTGATACGTCGAGTGGTAATCGCCAACTGCAACATATATAGACCTATATATCATTGCGATATCAGCGGATCCTACTTAAGAAATCCATCCCCGCAAAACTAACCACAGAGCCTCGCAAATATCAAAATATAGAATTAGACCATACCATTTTCCTCAGATTATCCAGAAACAATTTTATTAGTGTACTAGTGTATTAGTGCATTAGTGAACAGTTGCAGAAAATATGCTCATTCAATCCTCTTTCTCTTTATCATTGGAACTCCTAACATGAAAGCCGCCTTATGTGAAAATATATATTAGACATATACTAGATTATTGGCTTAACGAATACCTGGTTCAACGCACTTTTATATGATTATGGTAAGTACTTGTAACTAATTTACACCCCAAAAAAAATGACTTTCATTTATCTTTCGTTATACCCATAGTCCACATTAAATATATATGGAATGGACTTAGAAACAGTACCTCAAAGTTACTTATAACCTAAAATTTTATTATTCTTCAATATTCTGTTTAAATAATATTTTTTTAAATATTATATCTAACATTATACCAAGAGTCTACTAAATGCAGATATGGAATGGATTTGGACACAATACCTTCAAAGCTGACAATAACTTCCAACATACGATAATATTGTTAGATTCTTGAATATAATTTTATTAGACATTATATGTTTCGTTATTTCGACTACCTACCTTATACACATAGGGAATGAACTTAGAAATAGTATCTTATAGTTACTCGTAAACTCATATGATATGGATATGGAATGGACTTGGAGACAATACCTTCAAAATTGACTATAACTTCCAACATAATATTGTTAGATGCTTAAATACAATTTTATTTGACATTATATGTTTGATTATTCCGAGCAGCTATCTTATAAACATATGGAATGAACTTGAAATAGTATCAGTTACAGTTACTCGTAATCTCATAATTAATATTATTAGGTGTTTATATATAACTCAACTATTTGCGGAGATTTTGTATATTCTTAAAAGACATTAAATTTGAGTATAAATACCAAATTTTTTCCTATTCTATTGATAAAAACTACTAAGCCGTAAAATATTCTAAATTTAAAGTATGTACTCATATCTTTCTTTTGGTTTCCCAGCGTTCTGTGAAATTATTTTGTTTATTTTATTTCTTTAATATTTCCAATTCGTTTCCTATACGAAATCAGCACCCCCCATAAATACATTAACGAACAATTGTACATATGTAGTGCGCGCTGAGTGATCCAACAATAAAAACTGTCGGCATAAATTCTCTGAAGTCGTCACTCATTCACTCTTACGTACTCGTAGACCGACCGAGCAGTCGGTCGTCATCATACGGCATACGGTGGTGCCATCAATGTTCAATGTTCCGTATTCGCTACGGTATGAATTTACTACGCATTACCCTACTGCCTTGTCACACCACCGTACAGCGATCCATCCATGCTTTATGATACGTTTGAAGTTGAATTTCGTTTTATATCATTTTTTAATGTACTCGTATCCCTCTCTGCCGTTTGCCGGAATTCGCAATGGTTGAAATTAAAGTTTTTTGCCTTGTCATACCGGTATTTCACAGAAGTTTGGTTGCGCTCAAGCGCTGTCTGCCCTGTCTGCCCTGTCTATTTGGTTCTGTTTGGTTGATACAACAGCATAACAGCACAACAGCACACAATAGAAATGCTACACATACGGCATGAAGTAATAAGCTACATTAGCGTTGGCATGCATCACAAGGGAAGGGCTTGAGAGTTTACCTTTACGAGTACTGCATGCAATACTTACGGGCATGAAGCGCAACTTTACTCCGCAATATTCAATTGCATCGAGTTCGCTCGTCGTCCATTGCATTTATGCAATTCCATGCATACTATTCCGTGTCTCTTGTGAGTACGAATGTGAGCGATGCCTTCATGCAATACTTTTCCATGCTTTATTATGCAGTATGAATAAAAGAAAATAATATCGCAGGTTACCTCAACTGCGGTGATAAACACAAATGTCATCGTTGGAGAATTTAGTTATTTTATCGATGAAACATATCACAATTGAAGGATATTGGGAGTTCTAGTAATTGTTTTTCTACTATTTATAAATAGTCCTTATAAAAATTAAAATCTGTAATTGGGACAAATTTCAGTTTTATTGATTTGCATTTACACACTTAAGTACTTAAGTAGAGTTCACATATGTAAATATCTTTAACCCGACAATTCGGAACTGATCTAATATTGAACTTTCTGCTTATGTAAATACCGTAGTGGCTCAACAATCCGAACAATTGTTGCGAAAGAGTATGTCGGAATAGTCGATTTCTGGATTACCTAGCTGATACTTTACAATTAGGCAAACTCCCCTGCGATGAAAACAAAATTGGATCCTAAAATATTAATTAAATTATTTAGTTTCTGTTTATGAAAACAAAATTCTTATAAAATAATCAAACTAAAAAGCCTGCTGAGTTAATAGAGGATAGTGGAACTGCTGGATTACTGTCGCTTCATTCTAGAAATGTATTATCAGATGTTTTTATAATCGTATTTCAACAATATGTAAGATTCACTTGACCCAGCTGTCAAAATAAGTACGTATTTATATTGCTGAATTACACATACAACAGTATCGGGTCCTCTTGGAATAACATATAAAAATATTTAATTTAAAAATCTTAAAAATTTTAAAAAATAGTTTTTTAATTATAGTATACTATACATATTCTAGAAACTATAAGTGATGGAATGAATAACCAAAACAAATATATGTCATTATATTCTCAATTTTGTTAAAGACAAATACGATATGATATTTGAAACATTTCTGAGACCTTTCGAATGAAGGGGCAATGTTGAGCACCCTTCCTTAAAACAATATAGTTTATTTGTAATTAATTGTTTGTTTTTTAGCCTAAAACGGTTATATTTTGTTAGGTATGTGGATCTTGCACTGAATCTTATATATCATAACGTAATTCCTCTTAAAATAGGAGTGAATCTGGTTGCTTGACATTATTATGAAAATTGGCATATTTTTAAGATTGGTACCACGCTCTTAGTGATATAAATATAAAATATAACAAATTTTATATAGTATTATAGTTTTTTGTAAATTTCCAGCAACAACACATCATATTAAATTTATCTATTTAAAATGGATATGTCTTCTTATGGATATATATTTCATTGTAAATCGACTGAGATCTATATGTTTGTTGTATTTTTTTAAAAATCAAACTGTCGATGCTCTATGAAAATTAGTTTAAATGTTAAATATATCATTCCTACCACTTCAAGTCTATGCAACATATTAAATAGTACTCAAAAATCATATAAATTTTGCTATAAATATAGATGTCTATATACAGAAACACTTCTCTTTGTAAATTGACTAAGACCCATTTTTTTCTTGTATTCAAGACTAACCAATATATTTAATAATACAAAAAAAATGTGTAAAAGCCTTTCTCTGAAATTATACACCATAGTGACGGATCTGACATCTGTTTTATATATAAAGTAAGACACTTCCAGTATTCAAATTCTAAGCTACCGGTTATAGAGTGTCAATAGATTTTATAAAATTTTTTTAATTGTTGTATAATAATAAGTCCTGAAACTAGTGTATGTGTACAAATATTTCATATGAGAAGCAGTACTCAATAAGATCAGTAGAACAAAAATGCTCGGTACTTTTTGCCACCCCATTAGACTGATACAACTTTTTACCACAGTCGGACAGTTCAAGAAAACTAGAAAACTCAATACGATGGCAAATAGGTTTGATTCGAACTTAATAGCAATTTAATATAATTATGCAGTAGTAGGAAGACATATGAAAAAACAACAACAACAAAATTACATTCATCAAGTCAAACTCTCATGGTTATAAAGGCAAATGAAAACAAATTCTATCGAACCACTGCTTGAGCCTTCACGTCAAACTCAAACACAATGCAACCATATCGAACATAACAGAACAAGTTTAGTAAAAACCAACAGAGCAATGTTGAATATCGTCAGTTCGTTTTCGACGTTCAAAGTGTTTGGGGTGTCGTCGGTTGACGGACGTTTTCTGAATCAAAAATATGTGTGTTGCACGCGTTTAAAATTCTATTTACATTGCAAAAAATAATTGTTTCATATATTTTTATATATTATAATAATGAAAATATGAAATACCAAAGCTTTTGATGTTTAATTTCCTACCGTACAATATAAACATCTAACAAAATAAGAACAACTTTAAAAAGTAGCTATAATCAACAAATAGATTGTTGTTTACTTGGAGTGAAAAAAATTAGAATTTCTGTTTTGTTTACTTAAGAAAATCAAATCAAAAAGATGCTAATTTTCAAGCGGCACTTTGTTTAATTCGCAAGATCATAAAATTAAAATAAAAAAAATTCTTTGAAATATTTTTGGTGTTTTAGTAAAATAAAATAAAAATAAATTAACTGAACACGTTTAACGAAAAACAATAACAACAACAACGGCGACAACAACAACAACTGAAAGAAGTACAAGATGTTTAGCTTACGTCTTGAAATAATTTTTATTGTTATTGCAACCTCAACGTGCACAAAGACCTTGGCAGCCGGTTTGGTTGCCACACAAACCACAAATGGATTACAGTGTCAAAGGATAACAGTGACGGCATGTCAAGGACTCGGTTACAATATGACGGCCATGCCAAATTTGGCGGGACATACAAATCAGCTGGAAGCAGAATTGAGGGTAAGTTTAAAAAACAATTCCAAGTGAAGTTATATCGATACGTGTTCACTCATCTGCATTATATGTTACGTACTTAAAAGAGCTATGATCTCATACGAAATGAAGTATAGAAATACGATTATATACGATTTGATGCAAAGTAATTAAAGAGCTGTTAACGCTTACCCTGGCAATTGAACTTTGCAGCTTGTCAATTTAAATTTTTTTCTTAATGTGTTGAAACAGTCGCTGTGTGTGCTTCAAATGTACCGCCTTGGCGTATTGAAATCGCCAGTTGAGCTGTACTTAAGCGCTCTTTAATTGATGTTTAAGTTTGTGTCTGTTTATGTAGCAATTAAATGTGCATAGCTTAAACACGTACTCTTAGCAGAGTACAACTTCGAGATGCGTAGTGCGTGTATCTATTCTTGTACTGAAATGTATCTGTCTGCTTGTCTGCTTCATTGTGCCAAAAAGATCAAATACTTCAGATAAACAAACACTTGCGGGGCCATTAAATTTATTCTTAGAAGTTACGTGATCGTGAAATTTTAAGTTTCGCATGTAAAAACTTACACTGCAATACAAACTGAATAGATAGAAAAATAGATAAAAATTTAACTTTGATGTGCTAAAATACATTATTTTAACAACTAAAGTTGTGCTATTAAAATGCTCAGTTCGTTATATTGATGTACGTTCTACCAACGTTACAGTTTGCTTGAGAAAGATAACAGATTAAAGTTAACTTTTGTTCAAAATTAAGATAAAAATCAGCAGCATATATCATATTAATAGCAAACTTAACAATATTTAGATATAATATTTAATGTTGAATTAACCTCCATGTGATTTTTTGATTGAATATAAAAATAATTTCATATTTATGCTTTTTAATTTCGAAATTATACTTGCCCAGCGAAATGTCAAACTTTGCGATACTGTCAACGATCTGTCAATGACCTGTCAATAAGTTCGTTGGAGCTAACAGATTTCGAAATGTCAAAATATTAATTTCCTTCATATTGGCTGCAAGACCAATAAAACTGAAGCGTTATAAACAGGATAAAATACAAAAGTTATTGGAAATGATCGTCTTCCTGAAGATAATCATTAAAAATGGTAATAGCATTGTTTTAAAATAAACATAAAATCGACCGAAAATGTAAAATTACAAAAAATATATAACCTTAATAATTTTTTGTTCAATATAGACGATAGAATAAAGAGAATGACGTAGATATAGCATTATTAATATTAATTTATATTAGATCCTGATCCTAATGTTGATTCTCAAGGGGAGTTAAATATAGAATATAATAAAAAAAATTTATGAAAGCCATTATAATTAAAGAAATTTTGACGTATTTCTTCCTAAAGATAAAAATATAGACAAAATAAACACTTTTAAATTGAATTAATTTTATGATTACATAGAAGTAGCATGTTTTATTTTTGAATATTTCACAAAAAAACTTTAAAATAAAATAATTCTTACAAAAAATAAGAATTTTTTTTATAAACTTAAAAATTATTTGTCCTAATCTTACTTTTGTCATATAAATAAATTCTATTATTAAAAATAGTGTCGATTGTTTAATACTACTACTATTAATAATTACTTCTAACATTTTCTAACATATATTATTCTGTTAATTAACAGAAACAATAATTAAATTAGCTACATCGTGGGTAGTCTAATTCGCATATTCGGTATGAGTTTTTTTACATTACTTATTGGTGATCATATGACATTTTCTCCAATTAGACATGCAATGATAAATTTATATAATTTAATTAGTTAAGCCATTTCTACAGTACAAATCAATACAGAAATTTTTCAAATGTTACTTCCATTCTTCTTTGTAGTTCTCTGCAACATACAATTGCACCTTTACAGATAGTTCGTTGTAACTCATATCTCCAACTGTGTACTTTTAGGTACTGTAATTACATGGTTTCCTCGTTCTGTAGCGAATCCATTTTTATTTCATTTATCCCAACAACTGTCATCTGGGCATTAATAACATCATCTCATTCGTTACGATATCACTCTTCACTTTTTGTTGGTGGTAAATAATACTTGTAAAGCCAATGAAAATAGCAAAAGTTTTCATTTAAAAATTTAAGTATAAAATGCGTAAATTGTTAAAAGCAATACTATGTGTACATAGTTTTATTATGATAAAAAACGATAAAAATCGAGAATAGGTACAGCTAAATAAAAACTTTTGAGAACTTTCGTAAAAAAATGCTATAAAATTATAAAATATATTTATGGCATTTCCTCAAAAGTTTACGAGCTATGCGTTATATAAAGTTCTAGAAGTATTTATACAATATATCTAAAAATGTTTATTATATTATACACGTATATAAGCAATAATTTGGATATATAAAAGTATAAATAATTTCAAATGAACTTAAATGAAAATGATGTTAATTTCTTTAATGATAATGATTGTTATTATTATTATTATCAAGTACACAAAAGCAAACGTTTGCTTATCAACATTATTTGCTCTTATCATTAAATTGTCATTGTGCTCTTGGTGTTGTTGTTGTTGTAGTTGTCTTTTATTGACAACTGAAAAAGACAATTTCATTAAAGGCATATTTTGTAATTTCTAACTTTAATGTTTGTTTGCATTTTGTTAAAAGAAAAAATAATAACATAAAAAATTATACATGAAAATATCGAAAATCATTGGAAAAAAGTTTTTTTTTTTGTTTATCTTTAGCACCACATCATTGTATCTGTAAGATACTTTTCATGTTTTAACTTTTTTCTGTAAAATTTGAACATAATACGTATATGTTAAAAGACCTTTTGCTGTGCATAGGTGAGAATAGGCTCAGGTGTTAAAATGTAGCTACTTATACAATACGTTTATTGCAGACGTGTAGACTGAATCAGTTGACACTAAAGGCGCGTCAATTAACTTGACTTAAGTGTCTTCATTTATTGTAACCACACAACAACAATTAAAAAAACAGCAACTGCAAAAACAAATACAACAGTGTAAACACAAGTAGTTTAAAATTTCAATTTTGTCAATTTATGAATTATTTTTATTTACTTTTCAACATTTCTCAAATACAATATGTTTTATTTATTTATTTTTAAAAAAATGTTTTTTTATTATCTCTTTTTTTGCGCTTAAATACTTTGAAAGTCAAGTGCTTTGCTAAAGTTTATCTTTGAAGTGCTGTACTTACTTTTATACGGCGGCTACTTTATAGATACATTTGTAGGTAATGAGTGTATTTTTGAAGATTGATGGATTGAGAGTAACTAATTGAGTGTTTTTTGTATTTTGATTTTGTGTGAATTTTATTATAAGCGGCATCTTTGTGTTATTGTAATTGTTTTTTAATGAATTTTTTATGGATACCTATCCATATCCACACAAATGCGTCTTACTCATATACTATATATGTATGTAGCTATACATACATATGTTGTATGTCAGTAGAATGTACATTGAAATATAGATAATATAATTTTAATTTTATTCGGTTTTCTTTTTCTGGTTGTATTTTTGTTTGTCATATTTTGCGGCACATTTGATTTAATAAATGTTTTATTCACATTTCTCTTTGTCTGAATATAGAGTTTAGACTTAAAAGTTAAGCTCATTCTTTACACTTAACGCTTTAATGTGATGTGGTTCCAGAAAAATAATTTTTTTTTAGTGTGTAATAATTTTTTTTAATTCAGGCTTTAAATATGGAGTAAACCTTTGTAAAAATGTTAGTAAAAATAATTTTTCTAGACGAAATGTTTTACTTTACATTGCTAGTAAATATAATTTCATCAAAACTCTTGATTGACTTTTTGTTGTTTGTGCGAAAATATTTTAAATGTCAATCATTAACATATCAATCATTATCGTGTTAATTAAACCAAATACAAGAATTGATGGTTTGCCAAAACAGTTTAAAGACTTTTTGATTGATTTGCTTTTGTTTTCATTACAAATAGAAACTCACCACGACTGTGTTAGCTTTTTGGTGAACTGGAAAATTGCATTATTATTCATTTGTTCAATTTATACACACATAAAAAATTATACAAATATTATTTACAATATTGTTACATCCATTTGAGTTTCTAATCAGAGCATTGGACATATAGAGGCTTGCTTTAAAGTAGGTGAACATATACAAAATAATTGATTAACAATTTATTGTTAAGTGCATTGATAACAATATTGCCGGATTTTAAGAACTATATACAATTAATTAAGCATTTTTAATTTTTAGAACTCGTAATTATACATATATGTCTCATTAGAAACATAACATTTCTATATATATTAATATATTACTAATCAAATATTAAATAGTGTTACATAGCAAATTACTATACATTTCGATCTCTATTGCATTTCACCTACATATTAAAAAATTTGAACGAATCAATCAATACTTTACATTAATTTTTTTTTATGAACCTATCTTACCAACAATTTTCTTAAAAATCGGTTACATTTTAGCTGAATCATATCAAAAAATGCATACACTAATTCACCATGAAAACCTTAATTTTATTCTTTAAAAAAAAGTAATTTTTAGTAAAAAGCTATTGATTAAAAAAAAACGTTGAAAAAGAAAAATCTTAATGCTTGTCTGTTGTCTACCGACAGAATTATCGAAACCGCTTTTAAATTCGGCATAAAAGTCCATTAACACCTTTAGCTGCTTTCTTCCCATCTTTCACGGCACATACCTTATCACAACCTTTTTCTGTTCTCTACCTTGCCGTTCCGTCATCATCTTTAGTAACAAATAAAAAAAAAAATTTTAAATAAAAAAAAATTGAAAATAAAAAAAATTCAAATCAAAAGAAAATGTTTTCAAGACTTCAGAAGAGAATCGTTTTCTTATAAGCCGCAACTGAATTCTACTGAATGCTTGTCTGCCACACTGAACTGCTCCATACTTATCGTCATTATTTCCATTCCTTTGCGCTTGTTTCTGTATCTTCTTACTTCACTCTATTAAGGTATATTTGTTGT